TGTCATGAGCCCCCAACCTCATCCCTGGCTTACGTTTAGGCTTCAGCACATGCAGTTTAAGGCCATCGAGTGGTTAAAACTGTGACTCACACATGTAAGCTCAATGCCATTCAATGATGGGCAAATGTATTCTGAGAACATCTGGAACAGGCACTGCCTCCCAGAGCAGACCCGGAAGTAATGTGCAAAATACGCCAAGATGCTGAACTCCGATGCAGAAACAGGGTCATGGGCTGGAAAGCAAGCAAGGGAGGCAGGAATATGAGCTGCCATGGGGCAGGAGGTGGAGTTGGTCACAAGTCTGTCGCATCTGCTACGTCCATGGCCTGGCCAGAAGCAACAGGAAAATGCCAGCTTTTGTGAGGATTAAATTCTTGACTCCCAGAGAAACTCATTCTTTGCTGCTTTTGTTTACTGGGGGTGGGGATGGGGGTGGACCTGGGACTGAATTGTCACTGAGCTACATTCCCAGCCTTTACATTTTAAAGACAGGGTCTTGCTGCTAAACTGCTAAATTGCCCAGGCTGGGTTTGAACCTGCAATCCTGCCTCGGCCTCCTGGTGTGTACCACCATATTCAGCTCCTGAAAAATCTCAAGTATTCTCTGGCTCAGTTCCCGACCCATCCCTCACCCTCATTCCCACTCTGTAGACAAGGAAACTGAGGCTGAGAGTCACTTTCTTCAGGTCACACAGCGAGGGAACAGGACCCAAAAGCCAGGCCTGGCTGCCCCAAAGCCCACCCCCACCACGCTCTCCGCTGGGACTGGAGGGCTCCGGCTGCTCCTCCTCAGCCAGAGCTCCCTGGTGAAAGCTCACAGGCCCGGTGGGGGCCGATACCAGCCAGGGACAGCTCAGGCCTCCAGGAAGAGACTTGCTGGTGTCCATCCCACCGCTGGGGATCTGCCTGGAGGGCCCACACTGGTACTCTGGAAGCTGACAGGTGCTGCTTCCCTTCCCAGTCCCCGGGGCTGCGTGCGTCTGCAGGCTTTCCTGTGCCCCTGGAGCCCAGGCTTTCACACCGCCTGGGTGGGGTCTCGGGTGACAGGTGACAGGTGGAGACCTGGATGCTGTGACCTCGTGGCCCTGTGCACACACAGCCCCTGCTGTGGCTCACTCACACCCGCGGCCAGAGCCTGCACCTGCCTGGCTCCTGGGGTTAGCCTCCTGCACGTCTGTGACCTCATGGCCCTGTGGGGCCTCCCTTCAGTTCCCCAGAGCTCAGCTTGTCCCCCTCGAGACCTCTGCTCCTCCCGCTCCCTCTGCCCGGGCGCCGATCCCCAGCCCATCTTCCCTGGCAGCACCTTCTCGTCCTCAGTCCTTGGCTCCGTGTCACCTCCTCACAGGACCTTCCCTGCCCCCCATGGAGTTCTGCCCCTCATCGCCTAGCACTTCCTCCTGGACACTTGTGACAGTCTGTCGCTCCATGATCTGCCAGGAAGGGACTTAGCCAGATTCCTTCACCGCCTTCCCCTCAAACAATGCCTGGGACAAAGTAGACACCCAGAAACTGCTGCCTAGGAGCAGGGTGCCTGGGACCTGGGACCTGCCAGTGGCCCCTGATGGCACCGTTTGGCAGAAGTGGGGGAGACAGAGAAGACTTAGGGACATCGGAGATGCAAATGCTGAGGCCTGGAACGGAGAGTCAGCCCCTAGTGTGGCCTCGGGCTTAGGTCCCTGGGGGCACAGGGATGCAGTGGCAGTGGAGTTCTCTGGTCCCTGGGAAGCTACAAGATTCTGCCTGCCAGGAAAACGCTCCTCTCTCCCTCCTGCTGCTGACGGGTGACGAAAGCTCCTAGGACCCCGACTGCCCACGTCCACCCCTGCCAGCGCCCCCCTTACCTGCCTGATGCCCCATTGGAAGGGCCCCTGTTGTTCCTTCCCGGATCTGCCCCATACTTGGAGTCACCATCTGCAACAAGAGCAAGACGCCGTCAGGGCAGGTGTGTCTAGCCCAGCTCAGACGCCTGCCAGGGGAGGCACGAGTGAGGCCTGTTGAGCTAGGCCTGGGGCCCCCTACCCCAGGATGCGTCCGTCAGTCCCCTCTGCAGGCCCTCGCCTCAGCAGGGCCCAGCTGCATGCTGGCCTCACCTACGGCCATGCCCCTTCCTTGTCACATGCCAGCTGCAAGGATGGCCACACTGCTCCCAGCCAGAGGCTTCTCACCATGCCCGCCTGCCCTCCATTCCCTTTCCTTGGGCTGAGCTTTCAGGTCCCCTCCTTAGGAAGCCTTCCTGGACAGCAGGGCCCACGCTGTCCCTCTGGTACCCAGGATGTGACATCAGGACCTCTTAAATAACCACCTAGGAGTCAGTAGTGCCTGAATTTCCTAGCTGGTCTTAGTTGGCTGGGGGCAGGTGCTGGGTGTTTCATGTCTATGTACATAGGCTTGACCTCCAGCACAGAATGACCAGCAATGCTTGGTAAACTCATGCTGTAAATTCTTTTTTTTTGGTACTGGGAATTGAACTCAGGACCTTGTACTTGCCAGGCAGGCACTGTGCTGCTGAGCTGTATCCCTGGCCCTATAAATTCTGGACAAGGACATGTGGGACAGATGGAAGCCTGGATAGAAAAAAGGGTGGAGAATGGATGGATGGATGCTGTTATGGCTAGTGTCTAGATGTCCCCCCAAAGCCTCATGCTGTCAGGTGGGAGTTTTGGGAGGTGGCTGGATCTAGAGTGTGTGATTACTAAATTAGTCCACTGACTGGTTTGGCAGAGTTCTGGATGTGGATAATGAGAAGGCCCACAGTGGGTGTGACTGCTACCCACCCTAAGGCCACATAGCCTGGATAGAATATGAGGGACAGAGAGAGGCTGTTGTTGCTGCTTGCTGCTTTGCTGCTTTGCTGCTTTGCTGACTTCTGCCTGCCATGATCAGTTTCTCCTCTGCAATACCCCTCCGCCATGCCACCTGGCCTTGGATCCAGCTGACCATGGACTGAAACTTCTACAAACTGTGAGCCAAAATAAACTTTTTCTCCTTTAACTTTAGGTGTCAGTTATTTTGTCTCAGTAATGAGAAAAGTAACTAAGAGATGAATACATGCATGCATAGATACATGGATAGATGATTAGATGACGCATGAGTGGATAAGTGGTATATGGATGGCTAGATAGGTAAATGCACGGATGGATGAATGTGTGGATGGATGAATGTGTGGATAACCAATAGGATGAATGATTAACTGGATGAAGGAAGCATGGTGCTAGCCATCATTTCTGGTTCCCTAATGAAGGCAGGAAGGACATGAGGATGTCCAGGGGCGGGTTCTGAGATCCAGCATGAGGCCATGTTTGCAATGTGGGACCTCCTGGCGCATGCCTGTCCTGCCTGCTATGAGACGATAGGGCTTCTACTCCACACTTGGCCTCAGCCAAAGGCCGGGAAGCGACGATAGGGCTTCTGCTCTACTTCTCACTCTTAGCTCCCATTTTCCTCTATGTCTCAGCTCTGGGGTTTTATTTTTTTCTTCCTCTTCACCTAAGAAATGAAATGCACACTGTTCTTTTTCATGCCCTCTGCAAAGAAAGAAGGGCTTCTTCTCTCACCTGGGCATTCTTTATAAAACTTGTGTCGTAGGAATTGCCCATCTGCAACACAGTGAGGAGAGAAAGTCCTTTCAGACTTGACGGGGCCAAACTTTTCCAAAACAATGCTAGGGAATGATTGACATCTTTCACACTCCTTTTCCCGTGGTGCACAGTGGGATTTTCCCGGGGCTACGTGATCAATGATGTCACAGCTGGGCTGACACAGTAGAGAGTGGGACTCTCTTCATTCGTGGACTAAAGGAATTGCACAAAAATGTAATACGATGCCATCTTTGGTTTTGTAAAATACGATTAAAGACAAATATTACTTCTATTTAACATTTAATGAGTTTATGCTGTTACTGTAAGTCTTGGCATTAGTTTCTAATATGGTAAATCTCCGTAGCCGTAACCCTCACAGGGGAAAACTATGCAGAGGGCTCAGCATTGTTTTGAGGGTAAAGGGCCCTGAGACCAAGATGTTTGGGACCTACTTTCCTAAAGGATGAATTTAGCACACTCTTCAGCAAATGTCACTGCAAAATATGCTCATGCAGGGAGCAAATGGTGCCTTGAGTCTGTTCAGAGAGACTCGGGTGTCCTTACTGCCAAGGACAGAGGGACTGGAGTGTGAATCTTCACGCACTGCACACCCTGTCCGGGCCTCAGCTTCTCACCCCTAAAAGGGCTGAAATCTGTACCTCTTAAAGGCATCACAAGGATTCTAAATTTTCTCCTTTAGGACATAGATATGCACATATTAGGAGGAACTGTATAAAACTGTCCCTTTCATAGGCGAGATGTGGTCAACTGCTGGCAATTTCATGTTTCCTGTCGCACAGTTCCTGCTGCTGTTTGTCCCTGATCCCATCTCTTCCCTCAGCCCCACCCCACGGCAGCAGAGGAGACTTGGGGAGCGGGTGGCCAGGGTGCGGTGGCATCTACGTGGTCATCTCCCCAGCACTGAGCTGTGTCCCCTCTTGGTGGCCGGCACTTCTCTGCTGTGATGCTGATAAGTCACACTTCTTCCGTAGCTGATATCTTCTCTCTTGTTTTGTGGCCACATACAGATGACCAGGGTTTCTGGGACCAGCGGGGACATTACTGTTCGAGGTGGTGATGCCTGTGCAGCTGACCCCATCATCAGTGGACAGCTGAGCAGCAATGGTGGCAAGGCTTTTCCAAAGTAAATGACTGGGTGCCTGTCCCAGGCTGGGAGCTCTGAAACATTCCTGCTCCCAGCGATGCCACAGGGGACAGAGGTGTGTGCACGCTAGATACTGCCTCAGGCCAGACATAACCAAGTTCCAAAAGTGACTGTGTCCCTTGTGTCACGCAAACTCCCTCCTGCCCAAGGGTGCATGAACCCCCTTAATTCCTCCTGTGCCTCATCCCAGTGTCCCAGCAACCTTGAACCCATGCAGAAAAGGCACCAATGCCCCACCCACTCCCTGATGCAGACGGGCTGACGTCCACCTTCCTCCCAAAGGGGACAAGAGTCCCCCAGTGCCCACTCTGGCCACACCGGAGCGCTCACATGCCACAGACCCGGGAAGCCTGGCAGAGGAGACTTGTCCTTGGGGCCCCCCAGGTCTGCTACTTACTCTCAGAAGGTCCAAATATAAATAGGGAGGTTTATACAGCATGGGGGAGACGGAGAGGGAGGAAGCACAAGGGACTTGCTGGGCATTAAGGGCTGTGGGGCTCAGCCATAGCTGCCAACCATTACTGACGTGACAGCCCCTGCTGGGATTAAAGGCCTGTGCCATCGCGCCTGGCTACATTTCTCTTTTGCAGGATGCAGTGAAACTCAGAGAGGGCACTGGCGAGGGGGTAAGCAGCTGCTGGCCTCCCTGATGATATGGCCATCATTTGTCTGCTCTCTTCCTTAGCTCCATCCTGGAAGTGGCTCCTTTTGCACTGATCGGCACCCTCGAGAACAACTTTGAGCCAGCCTGTCTTACTCCCATCTTACAGGCCTTACAACAGCCCTGACCGCCTATGATTGTTGCTGACCTCCTCTCATTTCCTCGTTCTCTCTGTGGGCTTTGCACCTGAGATTTCAATCAATCACATAACAGCATGATATGGCCCCATTGTACAGGTGAGGGAGCTGAGGCTGGGGCAGATGTGGAATCTGACTCCAGGGTCACTCAGCTAGGAACCTGGAGCTGGGATGCAGTCAGTCTGCTGGCTTGAGTTCACGTCTGTGCCTGGTTGCAAGACAGGAAAGAGACTCTGGCAGTGAGGGGTGGAGGAGCTCTGGGCCAGCCTCGGGGTGCTGGGGACATTTCCTGGGGCAGGGACAGCGGGGCCAGGAGCAGGCCCAGGGCACCCACACTCACCTGCTTGCTGGCGCTGCTTGACACACTGCCCGCGGTTGGGGATGCCCTCGGCCATGTTCCCGGCGATCAGGATGTGGCACTCATAGCCTGAGGGACAGAGCAGCGGCTCTGCGCCATCCTCAGTGGTGCTGCAGGCCTCTGCTGTGGGAAGGACATGTGCCAGGCTCAAGGGCAGAGCCGGGCTTGGACCCCGTGACTCACAGAGAGGCACCTCTCACCTGCTGAGCCTCCCTCCCACAGCACAGGCACACCTGGACACACACACACTCGCACATACAGCCATAGTTTTCCTGCACACAGACATGAGTGTGCTGCCACAGCCACTCAGACAATCACACACAGAGATGCGTGTGAAGTCCCAGACACAGCTGTACATGCACAGACATATGCACACTTCACCTGCCCCACTGGGCCCGGCCTGCAGGTCCTTCCTGTGGAAACTGCTATCCACCCCCTAACCCAGGAGTCCACCACAGGGAGAAGAAATAAACCCTTAGGATTTTCAGGGTCTGGAAACACCCCCAGCCCCTTACTGCCCATTCTGCCCCCCAAGGGGGTGCTGTGGTCAGGGAGATCAAGCCCTGTTTCTGTGCCAGGCTATGGGCTCCCGGGGGCGATGGCAGCTGCCACCTTCGGTGCTGGGTGGGGATCAGGAGGGCTGAGGAGGCTGGACCCCGAGTGGGGACAGACAGTCTGGTGCTTCTGGTCTCCTGGCCAGATGTGGGGTCAGCTCCTCACAGGTCCCTCACCTTGCAGCACCTCCTCGGGGCCGTCCAGCAGCCAGCGGTTGCCTCCCAGCCACCGAGGCTTCGGCTGTACCAGCCAGTCTAGAACTAATGCATTACACAGTCAGATGGAGGAGGCCACACCTGCACAACCCGGGGTGGGGGGCTCCACTGTGCAACCCCAGAGGCTCCCTGGAGAAACCACAATGGCTCCCAGCACACCCTCAGTGGACAGAGGCCAGGACATTGCTAGACACCTTACAGCACATGGGACAGTGCCCCTCAACTAGAATATCCCACGTCCACTGTCCACACTACCCAGGCTGAGACATCTTGTTCTGGATGCTGTCATGGCTGCCATTACCACTAGTGAGTGGTGCAGCCATCTGCCCGCTGCCAGCGACTGATCAGATGGACTCGCTTGTGCAGTATTCACTGAGAAGCTCTGAGGGGCCCCGAGATGGTTTTCGATGCCCGGACATCGCTGACAGGACTCCGCCCGTGGGGCTGACTTTAGGCGGGACACAGCCAGTGCAGTTCTGCAGTTTCGGTGCAGGAAGGGTGAAGTGGGGAACGAGGGGAAGGCCTGGCCACAGAAGGTATTGCTGTTCCCAGAGGGAAAGCCCCGAGAAAACAGCCCCTGGGCAAAGGTCTGAACAAGGACAGGAAATGAGCCCTGTGGGTGACCCAGGGAGGGTGTTTGGTCAGGAACCCTGAACGAGGCCCCGTATCACTCCACTAAGGCAGTGGACCTAAGGCAGTGGGCCCTTCTGCACAGCCGGGTGACTGGACTAAAACTGCCATGATGCCTCCTGTGTGACATTGGGCAAATGACCCAGCTTCTCTGAGCTTCAGTGTCTTCAGCTATAAAGAAAACCATTTCCAGTCCATGGAGCTGGGAGAGCCTAAGATGAGACCATGCACAGGAAGCTATTGGGAATGCCGAGTACAGCTGTACAGGCAGCAAGTGAGGCTCTAACCCTGTGCCTGGTGGCCTTCCGCAGGAAGAGGTGCTCTTCCTATTGGTCCACTCAGCAGGAGCGCCTGTAATGCCCTTCACCAGCAGGGGGCAGCATTTCATGCCTTTTTTTTTTTTGTATGGGCGATCGAGCTCGGGACCTTGCGCTTTCGAGGCAGGCGGTGGCACCAATGAGCTAAATCCCCGGCTCAGCATTTCATGCTTTTATGAAGGCAAGGAGGTCGAGTGTGCCGGGTCCCTTCCCTTGGCTGTGACCTCACTTCAGGGAAACAGTGCAGTCATTCCCGTCTTCCACACGCCCTTGCCCTGGGGGGAGGGGCTGGAGCCACCGTCCGTATCGCAGCTGACAATGCCACCCAGAAAGCCAGGAGCGGAGCTGAGGGCCCAGGAAGCTTTGCTGCCACTCCTGCTCATCAGGGGCCCTACTCCCACCATGGAAGGGGGTACCTGTTCCCCTAGCCCCCTCCCAGCTCCTCCACTCCCAAACTTTCCTCCACAAGGGACCTCTCCCACCAGGTCACCCCAGGCTGCTCCTCAGAGATGGGGGTCTGGTCCCGCACACCCCTGGGCGGTTGCCCTTAGTCTGGGGGCTGAGTGCTCCGTCCTGACAGCTCTTCCCTGAGCTGCACTGCCATTTCCACTCTGGCAGGAGGACACTGCAGGAGGTGACCGCCTACAAGGACTGGACCTCTGCCCGGCCCCCTAGGGGGCACCCTTTCTTGCACAGCCCCAGGGCCAGGCCTCACCTGCCAGAGGGCCTGGTGGGGTCCAGGATGCTAAAGGACCAGGCCATTGGGGCCCAGGGACTGTGGCTGGCTGGCTGGTTTACAGAGATGCCCAAATCTGGATTCTTTTAGGGAGGAATCTCACCCTACCCTGTCCTCAGAGCCCGGTACACAGCAGGTGTTCTGTAAGTGCAGTGGACAGAGCCCAAAGAGCTGCTGCCATTGCCTGGGGTGGGGCAGTGAGGCTGGGTTCAAGTCCTTACCTTTCCCAATGCCCAGTACAAGCAACATCCGGGTCCCCTTTCCCCATCCCTGCCTACCTGGTGGAGGTAGTACGGCCTCCAGGCAGGTGTAGGCACACCCGTTGTAGCAGCAGCACCGGTGTCTCGGGCACTCGGAGTCGGCCTGGCAGCGCACAGCCTGGCAGGCGGCGGGGGGCAGGGTCCTTGGGGGCGGTGGGCAGCGGTCAGCGAGAGGCTGCCGGTGGCCAGGGGCACTCACCTCTTCCACCTGCAGGGCCAGGAGACAGTCAGCAGTGCCCAGGCCAGGCTGTGGGTCCTGGGTAGGTTGCAGGCCCTCTCTCAGCCTGGGTTTCCTTGGTGGAAAACTGATTCTGGCAGAACCAGGTTGGTAGGGGCAGCTGGGGTCACAGGTGCCATGCTTCTGTGTGGCAGTCCCACCCTGAGCCCACTGCAAGGCCCCCACAGCGGGATGACAGCAGGGCGGCCTCAGGGTGTTTGCTGGGGATGTTTGTGCTCTGAGGCTGCCCCAGGAGATGTGTGTCTCTAGATCTTGTGTATATGTGCATCCACACGACTAGGTGTGCACGTGTATACACACTCATATAAACACATGTGTATTTCTATACGCACATCCAGGTTTCCTATAATCCATATATTTCCCTAGAGCTTTGAGAACACAAACCACATGGGACAATGAGTAATTCCACAAACAACCTGGACAGACCTCACAAACATACTGCTTGGGAAAGCCCGAGCCCCAGGGAACACTGCTTGCACCTGTATCCGCGCCGTGGTTGGAAGCCAGGCCCCAAGGTCGGGCCGAGAAGTCAGGGTGAGGCTACTGCTGGGCAGGGCTGGGAGTCCACTCTGTCTTCCACCTGAACCTGGGTTAGGGTGTGTTTGCTTTGTGCGAGTTCATGGAGCGGGACCCTTAGGGTCTATGCGCTTTGCAATATTGTTTAATGAAATGTTAAACAATGAGATGCAGCTCACACATAGGAAATCCAGTTAGAATAAGGACTTTAAAAGGGAGGCTAGGGAATTCAAGTCACTCCAGGCAGCCCACCCTGGGTACCCCCGAACCCCAGGCCTGCCCATGCCAGTAATACTGTCTTGCTAGATTTGAAAATGGGGTGCATGACAGGAAGGTCATTACACAGCCTCACAGCCACACACACACACACACACACACACACACACACACACACACACACTCACTCAAATTAGATACAGAGTAGGTTAACCCATTAAAAACTTGCCCCCTCTTGGCTTCAGCTGTAACAACTGTTTACTCCTCAAGTTCTTCCCCAGCATATACATGTTTCCGAATCCCACCTCCTGGTTCTGCACTAGTTGATAAAGAGCACCAGCCCGCTGGCATGCAGCCATTGACACTGCCCTGCGAGTGTTCGTAAAGCAAGAAATCAGACTCAGTGAGCTGCACATGAAAGGTGAGCAGGGTGTGGTGGTACAGGAGGAAAATCAAGGTAGAGACTTCTTTTTGCTATGATTTAGCTATATTTTTAAAACACGTATGCACGTATGTGATATGTACTGCATGCATTTGTGTGCTCCGGGGACATTTTTGAAAGAAAACACAAGAAACCAGTATGGAAGATCGCCTCTGGGAGAATTAAGTTTTGAAGCGGAGAGAGATTGCTCTTCATTCTACGCTCTTTTGCATTCATTCAACATTTTTTTACCATGGACACGAAGAAGACAATTAAAAACTTTAAAAATACTAGAAGTATGTATGAAAAAAAATTGACAGGGAGGAAAAGGCATGACAAAATAGTGCGTAGAAAAGTGAGATATATACATTTTTGGTATTTTCCATTTTCCCGTAATGAGAATGAATAGCAGATTCGGGAGCAAAAATAAGTGAATGTCCACACACAAAAGGGAAAATAACCACCAACCTCCAACCACCTCATCCCTGCGTCTCATGGCCCTAATTTTGCCCAAGGATTAGAGGGGAAGTGGATCACACAGTCCCAGAGCCTTTGAGAGGTGAAGCTGGGTCTGAATCCAGTTCTAGTGGCTCCACAACCCATGCTGCCTTTTCTGAGCAGGAGCTGGGAGAGTTCACTGAGCGAAGAAGAGTCTTTCCACCAATAGTGCTGAGATGTCTGAGTATCTGCGTGCAATGATGCTTTTGCACCTCTACAAGCTCCACACACAGAACACAACGCAAAATGCAGCTGAGACCTGCTGGTTAGAGCTGAACTTACACACCTCTTAGGAGCAAATGCAGGAGTGAAGCTTCATGGCTTTGGGTTGGGCAGTGGTTCTTATAAATGACCCCCAAAGCACAAGCAGCAAAAGAGAAGGTGATCAGTTGGATCTCATCAAAATTGAAGACATTCATCCTTCAAAGCACAGCACTGAGAAAGTCTGAAGACAACTGACAGAGGGCAGGAAAATGTTCTTTCTGTTACCGTCTGGCTGGTGGGTTCTATTCTCAACCCTGAAAGATTTACAAGGTAGAGAGTCATAAGAGGACGAGCAAAAGTATTTTATTATAGAGCAAAAGCAGAAACCAGCATTTATTGCAAAGCAAAAGCAAACAGCCCCCAGGTAAATGAACCTGGGTTGGGGGACCGAAAGGAGTTGCCCGAGGGACTCTTACGTCGAGGAGTTTTAGACACACAAATGACTTAATCCTGGCCAAGTTGAGACTGACCTATGGGGTTATAAGCAGAAAAGTTTGACTTAGAAATGGGCCTATAGGAACTCGGGGTATGTAGCAGGAGTACTTTTATAAACATCATTAATTGTAACCTTAAACAGACCAAGGCATTCTTTATAGGGAAGTATGAATATCTTATTTCTGGGAAAGAAAATCCTGCTGATCCAATGAGGCCTTTGTTTGTGGAGGCTCCGGGGCCCTGGCCTTGGCCATCTCGTCAGGGTGTCGTTCACTGAGTCACCCCGACTCCCGCTCTTGGCTCGGCCCTTGCCTTGGCTGCCTGTCCAGTCTGTCTACCTCTCTGCCCGAACACTTTCCACACTCCCTGCCCTCGTGGGCACATGCTCCCCTAGGAAATCTTCTCACCTCCCACAGGGTCCTGGTCATTCCCAGTATTTTCTCACACACACCATGTTTTACTGAAACTGATTGTTTAGATTACTGTTGGGTGCCTCTTGTTAGGTTAGGAAAATGACACCCAAACCTTAGAAAACAGGACCACACCCGGGCTCATGGTTTATTCTTCCCAGGTCTCTTGTTATCTCCCCACTTCACAATCCTAATCGGATCATGACTGGCATCTAGACCATAGTGAGAACCCTTGCAGTTCAGGAATGAGAAGACAGCTCAATTAAAAGAGGTCCAAGGCTCTGAATAGAAATCTCCCTGGAAAAGCTACTCAGACAGCCAAGAATTGCATGGGGGGAAAATGCTCAACATCATTAGTCAAGAGGGAAATGCAAATAACAACCACAGTGAGAGATCATCTCATCACCCCCCCACACCCCCCAGCCCCATGGCCGTAATGGAAAACAGCAAGTGCTGCTGAGGACGCAGACAGAGGACTGGAGCACATACGGTGCCAGTGGGAATGCGACCTGGTGCAGCCGCAGCCGGGAGCAGTCTGGCAGTTCACTGAAACAGTAACCAGAGAGCCACGTGACCCGAGGATCCAAAAGATCACAAGCTCAAGCCCAGCCCAGGCAACTCAGCAACCTGGTGAGGCCCTGTTGATGTTTGGTAGATAAGGAAAAGAAGGGCTAGGGAGACTAGGGGCTCCTTTGAAGACCAGGGGAGTCCCAGGCATGGGTCTCTAACCCACACTGGTCTCTACAGCTCCCCTTTCTTCTGCCTCCAGCATTCCTGTACCATCACCTGTAAATTTCAAGCTGCTAGCAGGGCCATAATCCCACATCATTAGCTTTCTGTCATTTTCTATAGCATTAACTAAATTGGATCCGTGTTGGGGCCTCAGCGGTTTTCATCCTGATCCAAAGTAACAGGGGCCCCAGCCCTCTCTGCAGGCTGACTCAGAACATGCAGGGCATCCTCAGAGGGGGCGGCTCATTTTTCTGCCTCACTTGTTTGGTATCAGGCCTCATCGGGGGAATGGATGGTGCCCAGGATAGAAACAAGGCCCACATCCCCACCCCCACTGCCGGGCATCCAGAGAAGTGATAGTGGCAGCCCAGCTTCAGGGTCTGTGGGGAGATCCAGTGTCGATGGCCCACTGTTCTCCGACAGAAATTCAAATGCCGTTTCTCAGAATGTGGACAGAACAAAAGAGATAAGCATCTTGGACATCAAATCTGCTGAGTAACAACTTATCGTGTGGCAGCAAAACAACAGCTGGCGGTGGGGGATAAAGAGCTGACTGAGTAGAGGGGTTTGGGAGGGAGGGGGTGGACATTTTGCAGAAGGTTTTGTGTCGTGCAAGGCGATGCTCAGGGAGGTCTCTGAACAAGGATGTTTCTCAGGTTCCAGAGAAGGCCTTTTACAGAAGGAGGTAAAGAGCTCAGGCTCCAACCCCTTCCCGCCCACCTGGGGGCTGACGTCCTTGGCCCACGGTCCGGCCGCTACACTCATTCTCTCTCCACCGTGCTGCCTGGCTTCCCCGAGCACCACAAGCCCGGTCCCAGCTCCAGCCGGTCATGCAGGGCTCCTGGCCTCTGTGACACAGGTGTGTCCTCTTGTTACGGAAATCTCGGAGAGAAATACACAGGGACACAGAATTCAGATAAAATAATAAAATTTCTTCTCGTGAGCGGAGGGGAACGCCAGAAAGCAGTCTGGTCAATATCTGTGCCCCCTTTGTTCAGCATTTCCCTTTTTATATCCTCTTTCTGCCATTATCTCAGCCCTAGTGGTCTTTGATATGTAAATACAATTCCAGTTCCTATTTACAAGTCACAGACACAAGATAGGCCATATACATTGTAAATTCACCCTGGCACGGTAACTTTGTTAGGTTAATGAAGTTACTGGTTAGAGTCAGATAATCCTCACCTTAAACAAGGAGTTACAGGAAAAGCAAATCTTAAAAGAACACATTATTTATTTTGCTTCTACAACTTGGTGAATATTCAATCTATTAAGTTATCTGAAACTTTTCCGTATCACTCTCTCTGCCCCACCTCACGCAGCTTCCGGCCCTGGCACCTTTGGGCGTGTGTGTATTTGCACACTCACTGATTAATTGTGTTTCTCCACTGTGCTGTGCCCTCTTAGGGACAGGGACTTGATTTGGGTCTCACCTGTGTACTCCGCAAGTATTCATCGTGGCAGAAGGAAGATTGTGATGATGACCATGATAATGGCGATGGGGAACAACTGCTGGCAGTTTGCCAGGCCTCTTTCTAAGTGGTTGAGCACAGGCTCTGACTGATGTCCTCATTGCATGGTGAGGAAACTGAGCCACATGGTCACAGTGCAGGGATAGGCCAGGCTTAGACCCTGACTGTGTGGTTCATGATGGAGGCAGAGGCGGCACTGGTTAAGATTTTACTTTGTGCAACAGTCCTCACTGTGGCCCTCTCAGGCCGCTCTTCCTAACCCACTTTACTGTTGGGAAAACCGAGGCACAGGAATATTTAAGGCACTGCCTGAGCTGGCACAGTTCTCGGGTGGCAGGGGCAAGACTCTGGAGCCTTCCAACACTGGGAGCCAGGACTTGCAAGTGCTACCCAACCTTGCCTGCTTCGTCCACCTGGGTCCACTCCTTCCAACTCCGGTGGAGTAGCTCCTGCTCCGGGCAGAGCCAGGGAACTGCTGCCCTCAACCTTGTACACATTCTGCAAAAATGTACCCTGGTCCTGCTCTGCAGCACCAGCCCACCCTCCTCTCTAAGCGCACAGTCATTCTGCTGAAAATAAAGTAATGGCCCATGAAACCTCTCTGTGGAATGAGGCAGCTTGCCCAAGACTGAGAGCATCCCTCACCAGAATCACAGAGCAACCTTGGCTTTCCGCCCTTTCATTCCTACTAAGGGACTGGATAGCAAGTTGAGTTCAACACAACTACTGAACAGAAACGGGATAAACCTCAAAGAAGAACTTTCCAGTTCTGCATGGCTGACCTGGATAAAAAGAATTCCCTCAGGTTTTCCAGCTGACGACTATCTTTTCACTCCTGGGGAGGTATCTTTGGAGCTCTCAGTGGGTTTGCAAAGTCATCCTGCTGCAGATATCCTCAGGAAGCAGGAAAAGGAAATGCCAGTTCCGGGCTGTCAGTGGGTAGCAACTCACACGTTCAAGTCTGGGTTCAACTAAAGCAAAGGAGCTGGCTTTCTAGCCAGAGGAGTCTGTGTGAATAAATAATGTCACATCTGAGCACGGAGACATCCTGCAGGCTTTGGGGAAAGGGCATGGACATACCACACAGTACTATGTGCAAATGCAAGGTGTAAAACCGCGTAAGCCAGGCGCAAGTCCACAGTGTGTAATTCCCATATGTGTAATGCCCAGTACATGCAAGTCCATGGAGACAGGAAGCCGATGGTGGTTGCTAGGGACTGGAGGAGCAGGAGATTGGGGGTCAACTGCTTAATGGCTACATGTTTTCCTTTTGGGGTGACAGAAGTATTTTGCAAATAGGAGAGTAATGGTAACACAACAGTGAAAATGTACTAAGTGCCACTGAAATGCTCGCTTTAAATGAGTAATTTACATCATGCGCATTTCATCTCAGTAAAGAAGTTTTTAAATGCTATGACTGAAACGCCTGTAAGAAACCAAAGGGCTGCTGTATATAACTGCTTTCTAACCACCTCCCCGCCCCCAATGAGCTCCACAGAGTTTATGTCTTGCAGGAAGAAATTAGATCATTTTAACTTACTTGTAACTTTCTGTGCTGTCTGAATTTTTTTTTACAGTAAACATCGTTATTTTAATAATCAGAAAAAAATGTGTTATACCATTTCCATTTAGGGAAAAAGAATCCAGCCTGTACATCCCTCCCTTAGCACTCACCACCCTTTTTGTTTCGTGTGTAAAAGCTTTACCCCTTTTTGGAATGTTCTAGCAGCAACTTAATGGATGGCCTAATAAAAATGTACCCTAGGACTGGTTTGCTTGGTAGAGGAAAAAAGCCAATTTTTCTCTAAGCATTACTTTCTCTTCCTCTGGAATTTGGATGTCAAAGTTCTAAAAATAAGACACTCCCTGGAACACAGGGCCTGGATTCTTCTCACTCCCAGGCCATACTAGAGTCTCAGGAATGGAAGCCCAGGCCCAGACAGAAGACGGTGGTCTGTCCAAGCTCACCCTAGAGCCTCAGTGTTCATTTCCTTTTCATTGGTTCCATGTGGGCCAGGTCTGAGATAGACTGGGATTGCAGGGATCCTGTGTTTCACTCCTGCAGGCTTCGACCTTCCCTTCCAGCACCTGGGTGAACCCAGGACTCTGCCAGAGCCTTGACCAGGGGCACCCATCCCCTGGGTCTGCTGGGCACTGCTCCTCCAAACAGGGGTGTCTCAGTGGTCTGATGATGGTTTCCTGCAGCAGGGGACATGTGGTCTCCCATCTTTCCAGGGGCACAGAGAGCTCCCAGGACTCCAGTAGAGTGACAGCTTTGTCACCTGGCCCAAATGGTAGAGGAGCAGGTGTTCTGGGCCCAGTTTCCTCCTCTGAGAAATGTCTACCAGTCAGGGCCACCTTGACTACCATGATTCTCTTTATTAAGGACACCAGTCCTGCAGGATCAAGCACTCGCCTTGACACAGCAAGATCTCAGCTTAACTCATGATGTCTGCCATGACCTTATTTCCAAATCCGATCCCACTCCTAGACACCAGGTTTAGGGCTTGGACATGCGTTTCGGGGGGACACAATCTCACCCAAACCACAGATCTCAGGCTAGGAACCGAGTGCAGGCAGGACAAGGCTGGAGGCTGTCCCAGGAAGGTCGGGTGGAGCACCGGGCCGAGGAAGCCTCAGGTGGCAGGAGCAAGAGGTGGAGGTGCAGGGACTTCACACTCATGCTATCTGCCTTGTGCACTCTTGCTACTCAGCAAAAATGAAAGGAATGCCCTGGAAGGCCCTGGACAGCTCACGGAGGGCTGGGGTGCAGCTCTGCAGAAGAGCACTGGCCTAGCATGTGAGGCCCTGGGGTCCATCCCAGCACTACTAGACAAATGAGTAAAGAAAGCACATAGAAGTAACAGGGGAAAGGAGAGCCAGCTTGGAGTAACTGAGGAGCACAAGTTTTATTGCCACGTCTGACTCCTTTGTGCTCATCACCAACCCGGTGCCCCAAGCAGACAAATTGCAGAGGGTCCAGGCTAGCAGGATGTAGTGCAAAGAGGTGCCCCCTGCCCCTGGCTCTGCAGCCCCCCACAGCTGCTAGTGGGACAAACACTTCCGGGCAGGGTACAAACTGAACAACCATTTCTGCTATCCTGGATAACACTTAGGAGACAAGAGACCCACAGTCGTGACAGCAGGACCATCAGGGCACTGGTCCTGGGCTAGCACGGTGGCTACAGTGGGCCCCACCCAGTGTATTGGCCGAGAGGATCCCAAGAGTTAAGCATGGCAAACACTTGGCCTGGGACATAGTAAGTGCTCCTAAAGGATTGTTCATCATTTCATCAAATGCCAGGAAAGAAAAGCCAAAAAAGTCCGGCTGCCCGGAAAGGCTGTCAAGCCATTCACGAACACTCCGATTCCGTTCAATTTGGCCTCATAAGTCTTTGCTTCTGCTATACGCATACCTGTATATATACAGGCATATTTGTGTATGCATATATAGCCACATGTGCATACTGCACATAGCACACGTAGAGAGTGCAGTTCTGGGCTAGGCACTGAGCTAATGGCTCTGTGATCTTGTCTCTGAGCCCTGTGAAGCAGGTACTCCTATGTCACACTACAGACGAGGACCCTGAGGCTCAGGGAGGAGAAAGGATTGGAGATTCCAGTAGACTGACCCTTCCCTAGGGTCCCCTAAGAGTCCCCCAGAGGGTCCCCCAGGGGAACGCAGGCTGGTGCTTCTTCTGGCACTAACTGCACTCAGGGAATTAACCAGCCCCACTCTGCCCAAGAGACTCATCCCTGAAACAAAAGCCCCTCTGCCGATGGAGGGCTTTGGATGAGATTTTGAGGGCTCGGAGACCTCACCACTGTGCCCAAAGTCACACAGCCGGGGAAGTAGAGCCTCATACCCTCACACCCAGCCCGCTACTTGGGCCCTTCCTTGGCTCTGTCATCATCTGTCCCCAGACTGCCTGCCCTACCCTCCAGGGTGGGAGTCACCTTCAGGGGCCCCACAATGCCTCCCCAGAGCTGCTGCCTGAAGTTTACTGAATGTATAAATCATATAAATGTGTAGCTCTGTTTCACGTACATCAGCTTGTGGATAGCGGAGATGGAAGAGTTTCAGGTCCGTGGACCCCTTCACAGGTGCTGATTTCCAGGAGAAAGTATGTGTTGGCAGCAAGTCCCAAGCCAGGCACGATCCTTCCTGCACACCCAGAGTGAGGTGCCTTTGCTCCCTACTTGCAGGCCAGGGCTGGGAGGACAGGAGTCTATCTGTCCAACACCCACATGCCTCTTGCACTCAGAGGGGACGCCTGCAGGAGAACCCAGCACCAGGGCTCCTGCTCTTGCTGCCCCCCCCCAAGAGGCCGCCCACGGCTCCTGGGCACTTACTTGGAACCTCTCCAGCAGCCTCTTGGGCAGTGCACGCTTCCAGATGTTCTTGGCAGAGCTGGCTCCCAGGAGCTGCAGGAGACAGAGAGCCCAGAGGACCTTCCTTCCGGAGCTGCCCATCCTGCGGCTGACGAAAGGCATTTCCTCCAGCCAGAGACCTTGCAGACACTGGGAAAAGAGAGACTGGGTATGGGGTGGGGCCTGGAGGGGAACAGAAGTTTCCCTCCCTAGGACCCCCTGGCTCCTGCGTCCAGGAGTGTCACGTGCACCCCTAGATGGCATTGGGCCTGCCAGGTTATTTTTAGGCTCCCCTCTAACCTCTGGCCCCAGTCTGACCTACCAGGGCAGCTGTAGCTCCAGCAGGGCTTGCCTGTCCAAGTGCAGGCAGTGGCACTGCCACTCTGCACTCTTGCTAATGAGCTGTTCCTGCTGGACCGGGATGGCTTCTCCTCTGAGGTGCACCAGCTGCAGCCTGGGGCCGCCCAGGGTGGGTGGGACTTGAGCTGCCTGGGCCAAGTTAGGGCTGGGCCACAAACTGTCTGCCCACGACAGCTGCCAAGGGACCAGCTGCTGGGCGGGTGGCCTCAGGGAGACCCTGGGCTCCTGCTCTCTGACGTGGGGATTGGGTCAGTCTCAGCAAGACCCCAGTAGGACTCTGTGCAGTTCCTGTGACACTGTGCATGCAAAGCACAGCTGGTCACATCTGTCCCAAGAGTGCCATACAGGGTCAGTGTGTGAGGGGAGACATCCACACTTAGAATCTCATAAGCACACTCTGTGGGCTGTTCTCATGCCCAGCTGAGCAGGGACTGACGTGACACCCATTTTCCGGATGTGGAAACAGGTGTGCTTCCTGCCTGAGGTCATGCAGCAGTGCAGAGTGCAGGTTGGAGCCCTGGCTCATCTTGTCACTGAGGTGCAAAGAGGAAAGGCGGCAGGGCCCGGGATCTCAGAGCAATGGAGCTCAGCATCCCAGGTGGGCTTCCAGGAGCTGGACCTGCACAGAGGGAGGCCCCACAAAGGGCTTCTTTCTCCCACCAGCCCACCTTACATCCCAGCTGGCACCACCCACTCTTCCTGGCCTTTGGGTGAATAGCGATGGCAGCAACCGTGCGTAGTCTGAGAGGTGGGCCCCGTTTTAATGCAGGAAGGTCTCACAATGGCCTGGAGACAGGCGCCATCTCTGATGTCCAGGCAGAGCGCAGCCAGGACCCTCAGCAGTGACCGTAGGTGCTGGAGCAACCCCGAACTTGGGTGGGCTTCACTACAGAACTGAGAAGGGCTCCAAGGAGCAGAGAGCTCCAGCACTGTGTTCCAGGCTTGTCTCACCCACCTTCCCCTGGTCCCACTCTGGTGGCGGCCTTAGCCTGGGCTCTACAACATTCCTCCATTCCTTTGTCCTGAAATCGCGTGCTGAGACCTATGGGCCCTGCTCCGAGCACCCTACTCTCTGATCAGCCCATAGTCCCTGTGCACCACCCCAATCCCACCAAGGCTGCTACCCACAGAGAAGTCAGAAGGTTCCCAGAGGCTGGGGAGCAGGGCCCACTGCTGACAAGGCCCCTATTGTGCCTCAGTTTCCTCACCTACAAGGCAGGGTATGGAACCAGAAGCTGTCCCCCAGGCTGCCGTGGTACAGGAGGATGAAGAGGTCCATGCTTAGCATCATCTTGAGTTGCGCTCCCCAGCCTCCTTATGCTCCCCCTGCTGTCGGAGCCACCTGCCCAGTTCTCCTGGGACAGCTACACCTCCCACAGGCTTCCTGCTCCTTCCCTCTTCCTGCTCGAATCCCTGCCTCCGCCTCCTGGAACGTAACACTCTGCTCCTGGCCCATTTCCTGCCTCTCTGTCCGTGGGTGGCCCCATTGCTGTGGGTGCAGGGACCCTCTCCACTGGGCGGAGGACATTCCAGCCTGAGCTCTATCCACCCAGACCTGGCCTTTGTCCTGGCCGGTCCCCACCCCACATCTGCACCCGTCACATCTCCCGTCTTCATGGATGCGCTTTCTAGGTCTGGTTTCCCTGACCCCAGGACTAGACTGCAGTACTTGGGGTCTGCTGGCTTCAAGCCTCGGAACACACGGGACAGACACTGCTCTGTACTCACCTGCCCGTCACTGTCGGCCCCACACTAGGAGCCCTATCTCCAAGATGTGCTTCTGTCCATCCCTTCATCCCCAGTGCCTTACGCACAGCCACAAGGCATTTGTCACTCAGTCTCCGTGGGCTGGGGGACCCTCCATGCCAGCATCATCCCTCTCAGCAGCAGAACCTTGTCACAGGGACCAGTGACACGTGAGATGCGACAGGTCCAAATTCAGATCTTCCCTCAGCAGAAAATTTGCCCTGCATTTTAAAGACTTAGGAAAATTCCTATTTCCTAGGACTTTTTATACGGATTACACTCTCAGTACTGCTAATGTTTCAAATATGTTGGGCTCAATAAAAGGTATCATTACATGGACTGTTCCTGTTTCCTTTTCCTGTCTGATTTGGCTACTAGAGAAAGGACGGTTACACATGTAGCTCGTGTCGTGTCCTTCCCGAGCAGCGCTGGTCTGTGACTCTGGCTTCCGTCACCGATACTTAGCCCTGTGTGGCAAGGCCGTCACCCAGCCACCCCTCAAGGTCAACCTTGACCTCCACGGTCACCGCTTCCTTGTTCCCACTTCCACATCTGGGCTTCAATTCAGAGTTTTAAAAGAATTAACAAATTGTGTGGTTTTTCTGGTAGTCAGCATGATTCATGCTTATTAGGATTTGGAAAAGGAAAAAATAAAGAAAATCTTTAAAGTACGTGTCTCTCCTATCAGTTTCCGTGGGGAACCAACCTAGCCTTCCTGGTCTCCGTATTAGCCGGGACAGAGGGTGAGACGGGGGGCAAGCCTGAGCTAAGGGCCACACGGTACTTGTAGGTAGTGTCAGGATCCAGACTCGGGAGCCAGTTTGCCTGGGCCCAGTCCTCGCTGCAAGACCTCCTGGCTGTGTGACCTCGGGCAAGTCACCTACCCTCTGTGTGCTTCGCTGTTCTCAGGTGGGAACTTAGGCCTTTGTGGAAGTGGCAGGAAGAAGCGCCCTCCTCCTGGGGTGTGGGTCTGCAAGGCTGTGTGCAGAATGCACTTACCCACCAGGACCCTAAAAGGGGCTATCCCTGATGTGCAAAAGTTAGGGTCGTTCCCCCAGGGCCCTGGAGGGTCTGAGCTCCAAAGCGCTGTCCTCCATCCACACCACCAGGGCCAGGTACACATTGGTGCTCAATAAATGCTCTCTGGTTGAGATACCAGTTCAGCAGTGGTATTCGGTCGGGGCTGTGACCTGGCGGTTAATTCCTTGCAACAATAACTTATCAAATGAAAGTCTTCACAACACAGAGGGTCACCCTTCAGGGAAACTGTGGCCTGCAGGTCCTGTGGGAAGGAAAAGCCCAGAGAGGAGAAATAAACACAGAACAGCCCTCTCTCCTGGGAAGGAGCGCTTGCTCCCCTTTGATCAGGCATGAGGCAGAGTCAGCCTGACAGCCAGGCCAGCCTGGGGCCCATCAGAGGCTTGGCCGCACCCTCCTGTTTCCTGCCAAGCCTCAGGACTTCGTGCTCCAAGCTGTGGACACCCTTCCAGTTTATTTGAGCTCTGGCAGCCTGAACCTGACCCGGTCTTAGCAGACTGTCCTGCGCAGCCCATTAGGGCAACTTCCTGCGGATCCGAGGGCGGGTGAGCCCCGGGAAAGCCTCACAGCCACCCAGGCCTTTACCCCCCTGCTCTGAGGGCCTGCTGGGGTCAGATTGCTGGGCAGGGCTTCCTGCCAAGGGTTCCTCTCCTTTAAGGAAAAGAGGAAAATGGTGCCTTTAAAACTACTTTTTAAAAATGGATGTGGTGCTGCATGCTTACAATCCCAGCACTCAGGAGGCTGAGGCAGAAGGATCTCAGAGAGTTCAAGGCTAGCCTGGACAACTTAGTGAGTTCAAGGCCAGCCTGAACCATATAACAAGATCCTGTCTCACAAAACCAAAATAAATAAATCAATAAACATATAAAGAATTCAAGTACTTAGGAACTCACCCTAAGGAGACAGTGGACATAGCTCTCAGTTGTGCAAAGATGGTATTAATTTATACTTCATACTGAAGTATGAATGGCTTCCTGCAGAGAGAAACTCACTGGCTTGAGGAAGAGCAGAGTATATTCATTCATTCTTCAAATACTCAAGTGTCTGTGACAGACCAGGGCTGGGGGTACCAGGGAGAGTAGAACCAGGACCAGCCCATTAGAGCTCAGACACCAAGCAGTGTTTCTAGGGAATGCTTAGGTGGTGTTTTCAGGGCTGTGCACAGTCTTGATGGCTGTGAAAACAGTCACTCCCTGGATCTATCTCAACTGTACAAGGTAAGTACCATCTTCAGCCCCATTGTAAGGTGAGGAAACTGAGTCTCACATTAACATTTGAGTGGTTTAAGAATATCCATTCATCAAATTTCTCAGAGCTCTGGGAGATAGGTGCTCTTATGACCCCATCTGGAGAGAGGGTCAGAGAGAGAGAGAGAGAGAGAGAGAGTTAGAGAGAGAGAGCGCTTGCCTTGGGTACCCAGTGAGTAAGTGTCAGGACCAAGATTTGACCTCACACGGCGCCTGTGCTGGAGGCCAGCATACCCTGTGATCAAAGGAGGTAAAGGAGCTGAGTGTGGAGGTGTGCACCTGTTAGTTCCGGAGGCTGAGGCAGGAGGATGTTGAGTTTAAGACCAGACTGGGAAACTTAGCAAGATCCTGTCTCAAAATAAGAAGAACAAGAGGCCGAGATCTGAGAAGAGTGTTCTCCTGGAGTCACAGACACCCATGGTTCCCAGGGGATCCTGGGGCCTAGGGCCAGGGACTCCATTCAAACAGCCCCGATCTTCCTTATCCTCGTGGACCCTTTCCTTTCTTTAAAAAATACATTAACAAAGATCTTTCACCAGGAAAAGAACTATCCAAGCTGGAGTCCACTAATTTTTTTTCCTTCATATTTTAGCAAAAGTCCAAGCCCCTTCCTGGGCCCTTCAAAGCGGCCTAGGCACTGTGCCTGCTGATCTGCTGAAGTCGGCCCTGCATCCGGCCGTTCTGTGACACAGGGTAGATGAGAGCAAAAGGCACTCGGGAGGTGCCTGGTCCCCAGCAGTCTCCTCAGTCTCTTCCTTGAGGCCTTCCCTGCGGAGCTCAGCATGGGTGGACGGGCAAACAGCCCCAGAGTTGCGCAATCTGCCGTTAAGAGCCGCCAGCCCTGTCGGGCGCCAGACCAAGAGTGAAGACAGATATTGCCCCCGACCGCCCTGATCTGGAAGAGCCAGGCCCTGGCTGCAGGTCACGGACCCTGCTCTGCATCCTCCCCCTTCCCACACGGTTCCCAGGCTCCCGGCCAGGGGACTCCACTTCCTCCCGCCTCCCACCCCAGGGTGACCATCCCAGGCCAGACCAAGGGAAACAACCAGAGGTCTGGCCAGAGGGCCTGTCCTGCCATGAGGGACC